ATGGGTTTTCTCCAAAAATAAAGTATTTGTTTAATTGGATTACAATTAAAAAATTCTTTGAATCAAAATTGAAACGGCAATAATATTTTGAAAAAACGAATTTACATGCATTTATATGCATTTTCATAAGAGGTTTTAATGCAGCAAAAATGTAAGCTTCATTAGCTCTGTTTCAAACATAAAAAGTTACACTATTTTTTCAGGAATTCCATTCCTGTCATTAATAGATGTCGCTGTAAACTTTCCCAGAACTTTCTATATTATCACATTTCATTGTATTGACCACAGCAAGCTTCCAAAAAGTGCTAGGCCCTTCCTGTTGATAATGCCTTCAAAAACGGCAGCCACTTCGTAATCTGTGAAATAAGGGCTTTCAGGTTTCAAAATAAACGCAAAAAGCTAAAAACGGATTTTTCTGAACAGGAGAGGAACGAATCCATTACAAAGGAGGCAGCAGATGGTGAAAAAATATTGCCATTTTTGCAAAATTTGTTAGCGGGGCGAAAAGTTCTCAACTAAGATTCAAAAAAAAAATTTTTTTTACACTTTCTAAAATGAGGTTGTGGTTAAACAGGCTTTTTAGCAGAGGATGCCACTTTTGGAGCAGACATCTCGCAAATTCGCACTAAGCGAGGAAGTTGTATCACCAATCTAATTGTATTTATGATTTATTGTGTCATAAAGTGCAAAATCTTAAGCACTTTTGGAACTGGAGTATTAGAAGGGTGCTTGAGCAATAAATAATTATCAAAAAACGAGGCATTCTAACAAATCAATTCAAAAGTTGTAAGGTTTGACAGTTAAGTGCTTCAATATTGTGGTTAGGCATTTTCTCGGCCTAAAATTCGTCTGCCTTCAGCAAGAAATTCTGGATCAGTTGGATTGGTACCGTAAACAACCACAAATAACGGTTTTTTACAATGAATAAGTGTAGGAGAATCAGGGTCCTCATAGGGATACGTAGAGGCTTACAGGTTGTTACTTGGAAGAGTTGCCAGTAGTTGCAATATTTTTTTTCTTGACCCGATCGGCTAGATCCAAATTAGAAGCCCAAAAATTCCTCTGCATTTTTAAAGCAAAGAAGCGTAAGCTTCTAAACACTACTGATAGGAGGCTTAGAAATAAAAAAGGACTTCTGAAGGTAAACGAATCAGTCATGTCAAAATTTATCGTCGTACTAGTAGAGAGTTTGAAAGGGCACATCAGAGCTTTCTAGGTGCTTGAAACTAGAGAGGAGGAGGACCTAAAAAAGAGAACAGAACTGACCGAACAAAATATAGTGGGGACTAATTCAAAAGAGGCAGAATGAGAAAAAAGCAAAGCAGTCATAACTCTGCAAGGGAAAAGGCTCAAAGAAGAGACGGCCAACTATACGAATTTCTTTACAGAGAACAGCTCTTCTAAAAGTGGGCCGAGAGATACTGGAAAGAATCTTTGGCCCGCTTATAGGCAGTGATGCCTATGGCGCTAGATCAAGGCAGAAAAGTGGTTACAACTCAGTAGCCTGAAGAGCCTTTAGTTGAAACGAAAGTTTCAAAGAACGATGAAGATCCAATGAAAATCCAATGGAGTAGCCATATTTTGAGATTTCTTCGACTCTATTAAACGTATTAAAAGTAATGTGAGTACGTTAAGCTTCAATGCTTAGTTTCTTTTTCAGGGGGGAGGCAAAAATGACTATAAACGCCCTCCTCACAGAGAAGATAAATGTTAAAAGGCTGCCAATATTTCAAAACAACGATTCGACACTAGGAAATTAAGCCACTCAGCGGTCTGCCGTTGTTTTGAAGCTATTCCTAGTGCTGAAGAAGAAATCAAGAGCATATGAATAACAAGTTATAAATCGTGTTCTGCTACAGTCACATGATCTTGAACAGGTTGTCAGCAAAATGGCGGCAGTGAGGGTTTTCAGAGAAAAATTCCGAGGGGTTACTGTGTTAAAAAGCGCTGAGGTAAGGTTAGGAGAAGAAGAAACATGGGGTCTTTCAAATATAAACAAGGTATTTTACCAGGTGGTGGAAATAAAAGGAAGTATGAAAAATAATATAGCGAGGGATTTTTGGTAAATAGAGGAAAAAAGACGTTCAGTAAGAACGGACGCAAAACTGCTCAAAAATAAAAATTGTGAAAGAGTCCAAACTGTTGTTGGTGAGCACTTAGATCACTTTAAATTACTTTATTTTACTTCACTTTGTTAGGGAAGAAAAGTTCAGGCTTTTTGATTATATCTCGACAATTTTTGGTAGCTGATTCTGCTGCCGTGCTCGATATGTTCAATTTAACGTTTTCCGGTGGCTGTTTTTTTTATATCCGGTGCCTGTTGTAGTTCCAGAAAAAAAGCTTTTGTTTATTTATGAGTGGAAATTTTGTTTCCCGATACTCCCATCTTCTGTTTAATGGTTTCAACATCATTCTGCATTGAACAAAGCTGTCCATTAAGCTTCGAAATAGTCCTCACTTTTTCATTTGATTCAGCAGTTGAATCAATTCTAAAGTGTAAAAGACAAGGAGTTATATTTATGTGTAACAAGCCAATTTAACAATTTAACTAAGAAAATTAAAAATGAATGCAGTTAGTTACTGAGCAGTTACACGGTGGCAGTTGAACCATCGTCTGGTCGTACTCAGATCAATCCTCCTCCACCAGCAATGCCAATGTTTCGCCATTAAAGTACTGTGCAGCATCAGAAACCTGTAATTTTCTCCTCTGCTTCTTACCATATCTTGCTGTTTTAACCTTTGATATTTTTGCTGACTATACCTTCTATCGTTTGAAATCACCTCCAAAAAACATCGATTGTCGAAATAAGAAATAAAGAAAAAATGAAACATCAGTGCTATCATTATAAATAAGCTTTTTTGCTTTGCTTCTTTCTAAACGTGAAACACTGTTGTCTCTCAAAAGCGTCCTTAGCCCTAAGCACTTTCGTTAGTAAGCAGTCCTGTGATAGTAGTTAGTGTACTATCCACACCAACTCGTTGTCAAACAGTTTGGAAATGACAAACAGTCAAGAAAAAATTTTAATATTAGACGACAAAAGGAAATGAAGTGTTAACGAAGAATGTTGCAGCACTCGCACACTCACCAACAGTTTCGTTTCGACCCCAGGTAATGTTGAGAAACCGGTTAACCGCACACTTTAGATCTACTAAAGCCTGAGTCAAATCTGTTCTAACAATTCCTAAACTGCCGCCTTCAGTTCCTCAACTCTTTAGTTGTATAAAGGTCAGAACTAGAAAAAACGATTCCGTGCTACTGACGTACTTATTTTACTCTAGATGAGCAGTAACGAAGGCATAAATTGACTGATCAGGTGAGATGGTATTGACTCGTATATTTTTGTTTGTTGGCTCAATACTTTGTTGACACCAGATAACGCGGATTTCATGATACTATAAG